TGTGTGTGTGTGTGTGTGTGTGTGTGTGTGTGTGTGTGTGTGTGTGTGTGTGTGTGTGTGTGTGTGTGTGTGTGTATCGATGTACCTTTTAGGAATCAGAGTGAGGACCTTTTTTTTTTTCAAACTTCACCATCACAATGAGGAGCAGTTGTAAAGTGAGGACATTTTGCTTGTCCTCACATGCTATTTTACTTATAGTAAGGTTTAGGGCTAAGATGTCATTTGGGTTAAGGTTAGGGTTAGGGTGAGGTATGCATTTGTAATGGTTAGGTTTACGGTCAGGGCATAGAAAGGGTTGAAAATGACTTAAAATCAATGGAAGTCAATAGGAGTGAACACATGGTCCTCACTACATATAGCACAACAGACATGTGTGTGGGTGTGTGTGTGTGTATGCTTGTTGAGAGCCAGCTGGAGAGAAGAGCAAACACATGGGTGTTTTCTTTTCCAGCTTGGGCCAAACCCTTTGCCTTTGCTGACGTCACTGCATCATGAGACAGTCCTATATGAGGAATACAGTAAGTGTTAACGTCAACTAGTCTTTATCAATGCATGCAGGTATTGTCTATAACCCTTTAATCTCTGGCATTTTTACCTTAAATGCACAGTTAATTTGGATGACAGGGTTTTTTTAAGAGCACAAAGCTCAAATTTAGTGAAAGTCTCCAGATTACTATAATGCTAGGACACATAATCTGTGGCTTGCTCTTTAAACTAAGTACAGATATCCCTAAAAATGTCCCCTTACTAAATTCCCATTGACTCAACCCACTCTTAGCTGCTCATTTGACCTGGAACTGAAGTCAGTTTTTCAACCCAATTAATCTTCAACTCTAAACAATATGCAGGGAACAGAATGTGCACCAAATAAGGCAGGCACAGAGCAAAGCGCAATGGTTTTAAACTAACACTTGCAGTGGCAATAGTTGAATCTGTGTGTTGAATTGAAACAGAGTCAAACTGCCAAAGAGAATCACATGATGTGGCCGCTGCAAGTGTAGCATGCACTGGCCCAGCAGAACATTCTCCTTGCCTTTCTGAGCATGACAGAGGAGGAGGCCTAATTAATCTTCTGTAGTTCTTCTGAAAAAGGATCATGTAAAACCATCAGTTAGTTCACAAGAGATACACTTTTTCTATTAAAATATAGTCACTCTTTGTGCAGCATGTCTACATGTTGAAGACCAACTCCCCTCACATGGATGAAGAACTTCCAATGACTGCTGATTTAATTTCATAATGCCAAGCCTTACGGTTAATGCAGTATTGGGTTACTCTAAAGAAAAACCTAACATTTCATACTGCAGCTGCTTCACATTAAAATCATTTAGCTGATAAAATACAGGGCAGCCTTTTTTGTGACGTTATCTGAAATCAATCATTGAGAATGTGTCACTTCAATCCTTAGCGGTTTATTTGCTGTCAAGTCATTTTTCAGATGTTTTG